GGACTGTATGGGTGTCTACGCCGCAGTCCCCCAGCTTCCTTATGAGAATGGGGTCGTGGTATCACTGGGATACCACGACCTTTGGTTTCCATCCTCACTCAATGTAAGAGTTGGTTGCCCAGCCCAAGGTAGCCATACCTATACATCCCTCTCCAAGGGCATGATTGCAGTTCTCCAGTGGAAATCAGGGTGGTAGGCAGAAGTTCTGTGTAGCCATTATCACTGGGTAAGAGAGGGTAGGGTTGTCCCTGGTCAGGTTGACTGGGAATGCCAGATGTGGTGAATCCTGGTCTCAGGCCACATGAAATGGCTCCATGCGGTGGATGGGATTCCCAAGCTTTTATGTTGTGGGGGGAAGTTCACCAGACTCTCCCCCTTTCTGGGTGCAGCAGGCTCTCCCCCTTTGTTTCATCTCTGGTGCCCTGAGTGTCACAGGGCCTGAGACTCAGCACAGGGTCCATGTGCAGGTAATGCCAAGGCCTTTGTCACAATGCAGACTCCAGTGACATGGAGACCACCTGGGACTCATCTGTAGAGGACACCTCCAGGGGCTCATTCCCTGCCACCAACAAGTTCACACAGAGGAAAAGCCATATCAGTGCTGTGTGAGACAGAAGAGCTTCCCAACCTAGCCCAGCACCGGCGCATCCACAGCCAGGAGCATCCATAATTTTGCCAGCAGTGCAGGAAGGGCTTGTGCGTGCCTACCTGCTCAGTACCCTCTGGTGGCTGCGTTCAGGCAAGCAGCCTCATGCTGGTGGAGTGCAGAAAGAGATCACTGTGACTCAGCAGCTGGCCCCCAAGTTTTGCCAGGTGGGGAGAGGCTCAGAGAAAACACCTCAAGCAGATGCCAGCATAGATGCTGGGGGAACCTGTGAGGAAGTGATCTTTGTGTCAGCCTTGGAGCCTGTGCCTTCCCCAACATTCTGTAAAAGCAGCTAGTGCTCCCATAGGGCACCTTCACAATAGGGTGCCCTCCCCAAGAAAGCTGGCTCCAAATGACACCCAAAGACTGTCCTTGACTGTCTCCCAGCTTCATCCTCCCTCCTAGTCCTAAGGTTCCTTGTAACAGGTTGCCTTCCCCAGCACCATCTTCCATGTTCTCCACATCCTATGTGGGGCACCCTTGGAGTCCCCTTTAAAGGTTTTGTGTGTCCCACTCTCTACCCTCCTGCCATGTCTTGACAGAAAATTGTTATACTGACATTCTTGTAAGCAGGAGACTGCCTATTATATTTCATATATTGGAGTCTTCCACCTCCATGGGCCTTGACCACTTGCCTTTCTCTAGCTAGGCCTTCCCGTCTTTCCCCACCAAACAGGGTTCAACTCTGAGGCTCTAGCCCTTTTCCTTGTCTTGAGGCTTGTGGACTTCCTTTCTGCTCCACTCTGGAGCCTAGCCTTCCTGGCCCAAAGGCCTGGCCACTGGTCCTACAGCCAGGGGGCTGCAAGTTTAAGGCTGGGGAATGGCCCCAAATCCATGCTGTCCTAGTCCATAAACAAAAAACCAAAACTGTACCTCAGGGGCACCAGACCACTGCTTTTAGGATTGTGCCCTCTGGCAGCAGGGTCTGTACCCCCCCAAAATCCTGCACCCATACTGGTGCCAGGGCCCATGTACCCCAAATACTGCACCTTCTCTGGCACCAGGGTCAGTACACCCCAGATCCTGCACCCACACAGGCATCAGGCCCCTATGG